TCTAGTCCCTCCTTAAAGACTAGCATATTTGCCCAGTTTCACAAGTTCTAACTCTGTTTCATAAGTCTAGTCTTTACAGTAGCACTGTCAAAAGCTCGGGTTACCTCTCTACTCAGGTCTTCCAAGTGGACTTTTATTTTTCTTCTATTGGTTCTTATGATTTACATAGCCACAAAGACTTATTGTAGGTTTGCACTGCCTAGTACCAGTTTGCATTTCTTCATTTAACCACAGACCTTGTCCCAAAGGACAATGTCATATGACTGTTACACAAATGCCATGTGACCTGCCAGTCATGCTAGTGCAATATAGAATACAGGTGTCTTATTCTAACCAATTGCGAGAGACAGTTAACCGTAACACAAGAAGGATTTTCAAATTTTCTGTCGACACTGGGATTTGAACTCTGGACCTGCCACTTGGGAGTTGACAATCTAACCACTTCACTAGGTCGCTACACCCCTAGCTGAATGTTTTTCTAATAGGCAACAAAATATGTTTAATTAATAAAATTTTTAGAAAAGAAATAAAAACTAAAGATTTAGTTTTTGGAACTTTTTTTAGTAGTTAGGAGATAGTTAGACTTAAAACCTAACCAGCTAAGATGAAAAAAGTGAGCTGAACAACTTTATTTAAGAGCACAAATAAGGGTTGCTTAGTAAATTATTGAGAAAAGATCAAATGTTTTTAGCAAGAATTTGTAAAAATAATCTACAAAAAGAGTATTTGGTTAATAATTATTAAAATTTTTAATTAATGTTTAGCAGTTATACAAACTTATATTAAATACTAATATATTTAATAAATTGAATTAATATTTATATTTATTCTTTTTTTATTTATTTATATATTATTACTTAATAATTTTACTATTATTAAAAACAAATTGAATGCTAGAATTGTTTTAATTTAATATTACTTTAATATATACTCCTTATAACAAGAATATTTTTTGAATAAATTAACATTATATATTAATTATATTTTATAGAACTTGAAAACTAAGTTGTCTAACTAAAACAATATTGTAATAATGCAAAATTAAAAACTATAGTTGTTTATTAGAATAGATTTGTTAAATTGAACTAGTTGTTTGTATTATAGAAAACTATTTAAGATTCTAATTGTAATAATAGATTTAAAACTATTAAGTTTAGTGAAAAAATATTTGATCTTAAACTTCTATATTATTTCTTTTTGTAAAATAACTTTTTTGTATAAAAATATATCTTTTCTTGTAATGTAAATAGAGTTATGATAATAATAAACAGAAGAATAATAATAATAAATAGAACTATATTAGTAATAAACAGAACTGTAATAGGATGAAACCTCATAGCCTAGTGATTTAGACATTTCTTCTTTTACAGATAAGGTTAATAGTTTAATTTCAACTAGAGACAAAACTCTTAATCTACAAAAGTATATAAATATATATGAAGTCCTGTGACTAAGTCCATATAATTAGAAGATCAGTATATAAGGAAGTTTACAGAAAGAAGTTTTCTAATATAAAGAGTTAATACTTAATATGAAAGAAGTAGTAAATATACTAGAAATAAAGAGAAGATACACTAGCAGATAATATAATGAATATAAAAGAAAACTATAAAAAAAAAATGAACTTATCAAAATTTAAACATTTTTGGCACCAAACCAGTTCTAGTAGATATGGGATCTACTAAAATTGGATAAAATCTAAGGAGTAATCTTAATACTATACTTAGTAAGTTTGTATCGAAAGTAAATTTAAAGAACTATAGATACTTAGTAATATCTAATAAGATAATACTTAGATATAAATAGTAATTAAATAACCCTACCTTGTTCTGTTATGAAACTTAGTGATATATATTGTATATATATGCAGTAAGTGTTAAAAATCAGAAAGTTTAAATAAGAGACTCATATGTAGATCTTAGGTATGGTATCTAGTAAGTAACCTATAGGTGGAACCCTTAATTAGATAATGACTAAAGTTATATGTGTGACTAGTTGTACTTTCATTGATATATTCTGTATATAATATGTAATCTTATATTGCTAATAATAAAAAACATACAGGCAAGATCACTTTTGAGAAAAAAAATAAACAGAACTGTAATAACTTTAATATCAATATATTTTTTTCTGTTTCTTTTGCAAAATCTTATATTTTAGTTTTGTCAAATTGTTCCACCTCTTCTGTGATGCAATGTTTTACAATGTTTGATATTTTCAAGTGACAATTCCTTGCATTTTATATTTTGTAAACAAAATTTTTTTCTAATACTATATATTATATTATTAACCAACATAGAATTAAGATTAACAAGTAAACTAAAGATTAGTTGTGCAGATAAATAATCCTAATATTATATTATTGAATTGATGTGCTTCCACTTGTGAAATATTTAATAAAAGAATAATTGCGTCTTCATACAAGAATAACTTAAGGATTTTATTAATTACTGTTATACGTCTATTTGTATATTCATATATATTTAGTCGTTTGTCTCTTTTGTAATCACAAATCACTCTAAATCCTCTTGAACGTCAATACTAGTTATTGACATAATCACTTAATTACTACCCAAGAAGTCGTAAGGCATTCAATTATTAACGTATCTACTTACTATCATCTTAGGTTAACCCGTGCTTATAGAGAGGCAGTTCTGGTGTAACAGTAACTAAACATTATAGAAATTTGCTTACTCTAACTTTAACTAATTCTGGTCATGATCTACATATCATTGTGTATATACGTAGCATGGTGCGAATAACAGTTCACTTTTTATTATTTGTGACTATATCAAGGTCATAAGCAGAAGTTTGTCTAATTGGTTAATAAATTCAATTTAAGTTTACATTATTTATACAGTTTAGAGTACTTTTAAAAAAATGAAAACTAATCATAATGAGAGCTGTAGAACTTTATGGCCAAAAATAAGTGTCCGTTTAAAAAAGTTAGTATAGTAATAACTTCTCAAAAACCCGATAAAATCAATTTATTACTTAGCGAATGTTTTTAACCGAACCAGAATTAGATCTTATTTTTTTGGCTATAGAGTCCTACAGCTCTAATGGAACCTTCTATACAGCTTTTCTTATTTCATTATGATTAGTTTTCGGTTTTTTTTTAAAAAGTACTCTAAACTGTATAAATAATGTAAACTTAAATTGAATTTATTAGCCAATCAGACTAACTTCTGGCTATGACATTAAAGGCATAACTTTTGCATATTTATGTGTGGGAATTGAGGGTTCATCATTTTGCTCCGGACAATTAAGATACATCAAAAAACGGAATTCTCCGATATGCTAAGGACAATAATCTAACTGTACAAATTTGTTGTTTGTATAGCGGTATTGATAACGATAATATATTTTTCATGTGTTAAACCAGCTTTTAACAATATGAAGATAAAACTGATTCAGAACCCTAGTACAAACTTTTTTTTTTTAGAATTAATCATACATACCGATACGTTATCATAAAATTTTATTTGGTAAATCTTAAATCAGAAGTAATGTAAACCACACACACAAAATCGGTCTAAATTTGATTAGTTACTCTAATTTTTTAATAAAGTCAAACATCAAATCGACTAATCCGTTTTTTTTTAAAAAAAAATGGCAGACTAAACCGGCTAAGCCGATAAAATCAACTACAAACACTAAATACAACAGAATGAAACCTGAGCTTCAGACTAGTAAAATCCGTACGTACGTACTGTACGTAAGTATATTGATAGTTAAATGCCTAAATGCGGAATGTGATCTACATAGCGGATTTTACCAGCTCACAACTCGGGATTCACCTAATCCTATAACAATTATATTGTTTCATCCAAATTTAGATGAACGGTGCGTATGTACTAAAATCGTATGATATACGTATAGTATGATATAGTATCACTATTATGCTTGGCGAACAAAAAGGTAATCATGATATAATGTGAAATCACAGGAAATCTATTCGGTTGTTTTATTTTCCCTCAAGAATTTCAGATTTACAAACAAATACATATGTACATATTACCGATCAACTAACTTCAACATACTCACGAATAATCATAAGAGCACTAATTCGTCGTCATACAATTTGTCTAAGATGAATTAAATGATGGATACCGAAGATAGCAATTCGAATCTATTTAACGGATCACATGATATAGTTAATCATTGCTAACACTAAGATTTAACATTATATTGTATGACATATCAGTATGTACTGTACTGTACGTACGTACGTACCACCAGTACACTAATTTTTTATCAGCAATTCTGCATGTTACCTAGTTACTGCGTCACTTTTTTTTTATGTGGCATAGTAAAATTCTTATTACGTATGCGTCATACGTAGTAAACTTCTTATTACGTTATCGTTATGTTTATTGTATATGAACTATTGTTTTGATTTCGGATTTATTATTCATCCAAATAAGAAAACGATCAATGAATTGAATAATGATTGAATAATGTTTGTTTACAATGAATGTGTTTTTTAACGAATTAATAATTGTGTATGTGGACAATGCGTTTATAATGTGTATTTAATGTATTGTATATATAATCTAATCTATAATTCCAATAATTCATTTTTTGGTAAATGAGAATAAAAAAAAAGATGGTGTCAAAAAAAAAGTTATGTAGTACGTATTACCAAATCTCATCAAATTTACGTAATCAATAATTAAAATGTATAAAAAAAAAACATCGAATGCGCATTAAAGAATAATAGCAATGGCAATGGATCGAGGCATTCGGGTAACCATCTTGTTGAGAACATATGGTCATGGTTTTAAGATAGGAAGTAACCGAATTTATATAAAAACCTTTATAGAAAAGGAATTCTACGAAATGAAGTAAATCATAAGATTGCCTTAATGGTGATCCCACATATTTTTAGAGAATAAAAAAAGAATAGCTTTATTTTAAACCTTATTTGGGATTTTATTATAGTTGTATGTGTAAACAAATATAAAAGGCAAAATTTTAACTGATCTCATTATTAAACAATGTCCCGACCTTCAACTATCGAAATTCAATCCATTCGTGATGGTAAAGCTTCAATAGAACACCAAATAGATATTCATGGTAAACATTAAGAAATGTATAATAAAGTTTATGATTGTTTAGATTCTTGGATTTTTAAGTAAATTATAATTTAAAAAATTATAGTAAATGATCTTTTTGGTGTTAAAGAAAGTCGTCAATTATTATCTCTTGAAAATGTGTTGGCCGGATTACAATATGTTATGAACTATCACCTTAAAGGCGGTAGACTTCCAAACTTAGATTTCGAAATAATGAAGCGTTTATGTGAAGGATTATTATTAAACATGTCCTATATGGAGGGTGGACTATTAAAGCGAAAGATGACTCCGGAGGCTAATCGAGCTTTCATCCTCTTTGGAGAATTCATGGAAGAAGGTGTGATTAATCTATCTGATTATAAAATGTTTATATTTACGAGCTAGGATAATTCCTACATCATTGTTTATTTATTAGTGGAAGAATTTCGTCAAGCTGTTCGTGAAAAAAGTGTTTCTGATCTTTATCACGCTTTTAAACTACATCGTCGTTGTAAAGATGTTGATCCAACAGTCAAACAATCTGTAGTTGCCATAATATATATGCTAACAAATTGGTTTCCTCAGTTTTCGGATTGGCGTGAATTGGTAAAAGATGATGAACAAGGTGATGTTGAAAAATTAATCAGAGAGTTCACGGATGTAATTAAGAAACCTAGAATGCCATCACTTCAGGGTGTTGCATTACCCCCTCCATGTAAGTTATGTTTAACTCCTCTTTTATTTTGTGTTAAGTTTTTTTTACGAATAATATTTTACCATATATATATTTTTAGCCTTATATTTTGATCGTGATGTGACCCGAGTATTGAAAATGTTTCGTACTTCATTAACGGATGGCTTACCCTCAACCGAAATACCAATACTACTGAAGCACTATGGATCTAATCAATTACCTAAACCACCAAAAACTTCCATCCTTAGTATGATACTTAATCAATTAAAAGATTTTATGGTACTAATATTGATAGCTGCTGCAATTGTTACTGCGGCATTAGGTGATTTTAAGGACATGGGTATCTTGTTGTTTGTTATCGTTCTTAATACTATAATCGGATTTACACAAGAATATAAAGCAACAAAAGCTTTAGAAGCTTTACAAAAACTATCTGTTCCAAAAGTACGAATTTCCATCATCTGTTATGTAAAAAAAAGAATTATGGTTCTTGATTTCGTATCCTAATTTTTACCTATTTAATAATAATAAAGGCTCAAGTAGTACGTGATGGTCAACAAATGATTATTGATTCCTCACAACTTGTTCCAGGTGATATAGTTATTCTTGAAGAAGGTGATGCAGTTCCTGCTGATGTACGTATTGTAGAAAGCTCACATTTGGAAGTTATCGAATCAATATTGACCGGAGAAAGTCTTCCAGTCAACAAAAATACTAAAAAAATTTGGACAGCGGTATGCATTTTTATAATAAAAAACAAAATTTTTACAAAAATTCATTTATAACTTAATTATTCTTGTATTTGTTATTAACATTAATATAATAGACAAGGAATCATCCATTGGGTGAATGCAAGGGAAATTCATTCATGTCAACTACAATAGCCAGAGGTCGTGGTAAAGGAATTGTGGTTAGAACTGGAAGTGACACTGAGGTAAAATCAAATTATAACTGATATATATATATGATATATATATATATATATATATATATATATAACAAGAGTTAAAATAAATGTAAAAACATTAATCATGACTTTTTTTTATCAGATTGGGAAAATTAGTGCTGCTATAACTTCAGTTAAACAAGTAAAAACTCCAATCCAACGTAAATTGTCAAAATTAGGGAAATGGCTTGTTTTACTTGCTTTTGTTTTGTGCATTCTTGTTGTTATAATAGGAATTGCATATAAACATAATGTAATAACAATGGTTTTTATTGGTATAAGGTAACGTACATTTAATTTAATTTGTATATTATTTTAATGTTATTAATTAATAATCGTTTATATACAATTATTACTCTATTAGTTTGGCCGTCTCTGTTATTCCGGAAGGTCTAGTGGCTGTTACAACTGTAACAATGGCTATCGGTGTACGTCGAATGGCAAAGCGTAGTGCAATAGTAAGAACTTTACCGGCTGTAGAAACACTTGGTAGTGTTACAGTTATTTGCTCTGATAAAACAGGTACTCTTACCGAAGGAAAAATGGGTCCAATAGAATTATGGACTGCTAATGATTCATTATACACCTTCACAAAACCAACTTCTATGGATCCAAATGAAGGTGATATTTTATTGCTTTCTTTAAAGCATAATCAAAAAGCTTTTGAATTACATGATGACTCAATACAATCACAAAAATCGGATAAAATGGTTTACAATGCATTGAATCCTAAAGAAATTCCAAAAAATCCACAAAACTTGCAACCACATTTAATGACTGCATTAATGATTTCATGTCTTTGTAATAATTCTTCTGTTACCAAAGAAAGTGATAATGAATGGAAAGGTGTTGGTGATCCAACAGAGGTAAATTAAACATTCTATAATCGTAATCATAATCGTAATATATATATATATATATTTTTATTAACATTATTAAATTATTGTAAATAAATAAAATAGGTAGGACTGTTACTTGCGGCACAAAAAGGTGGACTATCAAAGGATTACTGGGAGAAAGATTGTGGATTCGTTAAAATCCATGAAAAGGCATTTGATAGTGAACGTAAAATCATGAGTACTGTTCACAATATTGAAGATACTACATCATTAGGACATTCAAAACCAACAAAACTAGTACTTGTTAAAGGAGCACCAGAGGAATTACTTCGAAAATGTACACATCATCTACCAGAAGTTGAATCAACAGAAATAGATTTTACATTTGATATAATTTTTGGAGAAAAAGAAGGATGTCAACCAAAGGAATTATCAGATAAATTTATTGATATTGTTTCGGAACAAAGTTCAAGAATGGCATCGCGAGGATTACGAATTCTTGGATTAGCTTTTAAAATTATTTACGATGATACATCTTCATCGTCTATATCTTCTCATTATTCTGAGAATAATCAGGACATACCAACAGTTAATCCTTTATTCGATGAAACAGATTTAACATTTGTCGGTTTAATCGGACTAATAGATCCACCTAAAAAAGCAGTTAAAGAGTCCATTCGTAAATGTAAAGAGGCTGGAATTCAAGTTATAATGATAACTGGTGATCATATAGCTACAGCCACAGCAATAGCTAAAGACATTGGCATTATCGAACCAGGAGATCCGAATAAGGTATGATTACATTTTAACTCATAAATCTAAATGAAAAAAAATTTATTGATAAAAATTTATTCAATAGAATTTGGCAATTCTTGGAGCTGAATTTGATCTACTTTCCGAACAAGCAATAAAAGAATTGAATCCATTTCCTAGTGTTTTTGCACGCGTTAGGTGAGAATATATTTATTAATAAGTAAAAAAGAAATTTATATATAATTATATATATATATTTTTAATTTAAAATATTAATATAAATTACATTATCAGTCCTGATAACAAACTTAAGATCGTCCAAGCCTTACAAAGCCTTGGAAATTCAGTAGCCATGACTGGTGACGGAGTTAATGGTAAAATTTACTATATTAATTTTTATAAACAAACAAAAAAAATTATTCAATATTTTGTTTCAAATATTAATAAAATTTAATATATTAACAGATGCACCAGCAATTAAAGCATCGGATATAGGAATTGCCATGGGAGTAAGCGGCACGGAAATAACGAAACAAGCAGCAGATATTGTTCTAGCAAATGATGATTTTTCTACAATTGTTATAGCAGTAGAAGAAGGCAGACACGTGTTTGACAATATTCTTAAATTCATTGTATATCTATTAAGTTGTAATGGAGCAGAAATAATATTGATGTTTATATGTGCGATTATTAATACGGAATTACCATTTACAACTATAATGATTTTATTTGCAAATATAATTGGTACATAAAAAAAAAATTTTTTTTTAATAATCATAATAATAATCATAATAAATTTTCTAATACTAATTTATTATTAATTTATTTCATAAATTAATAAGCTGACGTACCACCTGCAATGTCACTTGGTATAGAGCCAGCAGAAGGGGATTTAATGAGACGTAAACCAAGAGATCCAAATTCAGGTGTACTTAACGTTTACACGACCTCTATCTTATTAATGCAAGCAACAGTAATGGCATTAGCAACATTTGGAGTATACAAAATTGGATTATCAATAGAAAATTTGGATATAAAAGATGCACAATCTTTGGCATTTGCTACGTTAATTACAATGCAATTGTTTCAAGGTTTCTTATCTAGAACTTTAAATGAAAGCTTTTTTAGAACACCTTTATTTGGAAATAAGGTAAATAGAAATTTATCAAGAAATTTATTATTATTATTGCTGTATGATATTTTTTTTTTGTTAGATATAATGTTTTTGACCAGCGTTTAACCATTTATGTAATAGTGGATGATAATAGGAGTTTTTGGATCATTTGCCGCATTAGTTATTGGTATATATATTCCAGGTAAAAAAATGCATACATTTTATTAATTTTAGTAACTTTAGTAGTTATAACAGTAATAAGAATCTAATAATAATAATAATTTTTACGTAATAACAGGAATAAATGATTGGTTTTCACTAAATCCAGTTCCAATATTAGGATGGGTAAAAATAGCAATATGTCTTATAGTACTAATAGTATTTAGTGAGATTGGAAAAATGTTTGGAAGAAGATTAAGAGATAAGGATGTTTCCACGAGAGTCTAAGTTTGTGTTTTGCGTTTGGAAGAAGATTAAGAGATAAAGAAGTTTCTACGAACGTCTAAGTTTGTGTTTTGCGTTTGGAAGAGGATTAAAAGATAAAGAAGTTTCTACGAGAGTCTAAGTTTGTGTTTGGGAGTTTTTTTAAAATAATAATAATTATATAATAATAATAAAATAGTTTAATTAGTAATAACTACTACTAGCTATTTTTGAATCTATTTAATCTATTTAACGATTATTTTTAATTAACTGATTGAAGAGATTAAAAGTATAGTCATTTCATATTTGAATAATAAAAAGATTTTAAATTTTTTTTTTCAACACGATAAAGCTTCCAAATTTTAAAAGTTTTTAACTCTAAATAGCTAGGAATAAAAAAAAATTTATTTCTAGCTATTTAGAGTTAATAACTATAATGTTCAGATGTTCAGAAAATTTTTTTTGGTTTCAACTATTTGAAAAATAGCTAAATAACACAAAATGTAGTTAGGTACTTTATGTACGGATGTACGGGCACGTATGATCAATTTGAGATCAAATTAGATAGTAAGTTTAATTGAAAATTTTTTTTAATAAAAATTAACATCAATCTTTCACTAACGCTAAAACATGAACCTGGCACTTTAGTGATAGACCGTTATTAATTTTAGTAAAGCTATAAATAAATTTGATATCAATATTAACATGAAATTACGATGAAATTAATCACTATAAATAGTGACATTCACCTTTTGTTTATATAGTTCTTTGATCTCTTAGATAATATCAATGAGTTAGAATAACTTTATAGATTTGGGAATTAATAAAACGACTTTGTTATTATTTATTGGCATACAGTAAGAATCAGGAAAATAGCATATAAAAAATAAAATGTTCTACGATAAAATGGCACACTACTGTATCGTTATCACCATACGTATAAATACACAAACAGATTACTTCATTGTTGTACACAGAATGCGCATAAGTTCAGGGTGTTAATTATTAATAGTTATTCTAAAACAGTTATCGTTATTAACAAAAATAGAGATGCTAGTTAAATCATGGCGAAACACTTTAATCAGCAACTAATCAAAAATGTGCATGCTAAAGCAGTCTTTTATATTACAAAAATCAATTACAAAGTTTAACAATAACTTCTTTATTAAACTCATGATCAAACATTTAACCTCAATATCGAATTAACTACGTACGGCACAATCAAATTTTTTATCGAAGATGAATCATTCTAATTGTTGCAACTAGACAATTACATTCACATGATAATTCAACGATTGGAGCGTTATAAATAATTGTCTGATGATTTCGAAATAAAAATCAATCATTTTTTTTTAAACCTCAAGACCTTTCGTGATTTTATTTTTTTATTTTTTTTGTTTTGTTGTTTAATGAGTTGGTTTATGATTTTTATGATTTATGATACACAACTTTTAAATTATTTAATGATCAAATTGCAATTCTGAGGGCCATTCATTCTCAATTTTTGATATTGGGGATTTGGTTTGTTTTATTCTGTTATATATAAACATACATACATATTTTTTTCTGACCTACTTCATACTTTATCCGACCCTTAAAATATAATAAGTCATCGCGATTTGTTTCGTGTAATTTAACGAAATAAATTCTCCTTAAATAAAAAAAAAAAAAAAGTAATAATAGAAATATGGCAAGCTTCATTAGAGCAAATCGATCGTACTTTGAATATGAAATCTCTAATATCTCTCAGCTAATTCATGCGATTTATGGACCCCCGTTCGCTCATGAATTTCGTTCTAAACAACTTTGGCATTTGGTCATTAAACCGGTAATTTATTTCATCAGTCAATTTAATTATATTTAAATTTTAATTATTTAAATAAAACATTCACTATATATATATATGTACATATATATCTATCTATATATATATATATATATATATACATAAATATATTTTTTTTTTAATAGCTGAAAGATTATTGTGTTATATACTTGGAGCAAGTATCCACTCCAAATGCAAAACAATGTGATGAATTTATGGCAAAACTTTCAATGTGTAATCATAAAATTCATGTTAGAAGGTCGGATGGCACTGAAATTTTGCCGATTAATAATTTAAGTAACAAAAAAGGTATTAAAACATTTTTATAATATTTTTACAATATTTGAATAATATTATTACCTTTTTCTATTATATGCTAATTTCAATATTTCAATTCATTTCTTATTAAAAAAAAGATACTTATAAAGTATTCAGAAGATCCTGTCTGAAAGATTCTTCAATAATAATCGGTATTGAGATGCTAAAACCTGAATTCAGTCAAAACCCTTCTACCGCCTTCTCCTCAACCACTCCATCTTCGTTCAACAACACAGCAAAACAAATTTCTCCTTCAAAAATAAAGACCATCTGGACCGAAGAATTGCACAATCCTACGACTGCCGATGTTAGATTTGTTGTTGGTGATCATGAATTATTCGCAAGTAGTTCTATCCTTGCAAAAAGATCTAAATGTTTTAAAGATATATTTGATGAAATGAAACGTGATACAAAATGTGAAATTAATGAAAAACTCGGCATTCGTGAAAAAGGAAAATCCGGTATTGGTGAAAATGATGAGAAACTTTCCATTCCGGATGATGAAGAAAGCTGGTCTTCTTTTGATGACACTCTTTCAATAGCCTCTACAACTTCTTCCAATGAAACCTTATTCACTTCTTCCTCTAAACCTTCCTCCTTTAAATCCCGTGATTCCCGTGATTTCTGTTATGAATTAGTAATCTCGGATTTTCCATATCATTCTGTTCTCCAAATGCTTCAATTCTTATACACCGATGATTTACCTTTCACTGATAAAGTTTCTTCTAACCAATTTTCTTCTTTCCCCTTCTCCGATGAAATTTATTCACTATATGGTATTGCTGATAAATACCAAATAATTGACCTAAAATTCCATCTCAAAAAACTTATTCTCTGTAATCTTAAATTGGAAACTTGTGCTGAAATGTTATTCAAACACGTTTGGAAATGGCCTGAATTAAAACGTGTAGTTATGCCATTTGTTGTAAAATACTTTGCAAAAATTAAGTGTACGCAAGGTTATTTAAATATAGTAGAAAAATGTAAATGTGGTGAAGGTGAGAATGAGTTTCCAACGTTTTTTGAATTAAATTTTGAGATTTTAATGGCAACATTTTCATGTTCCTGTTAAAAAAAAAAAAAAGAGGAAAAAAAAAAAGAAACTTAAAGAACCTTTTTTTTTTTGTTATTAAATCATGTTAGAATAATAAGAAAATTATTTTTATATATAATATGTAAGAAGGGGATAAAAGTTGGAAGTAATACTTTTTTCAGTTTGATTAGCATTCTATTAAGATATTTTTATTCGTTTATCAATTTCTTCCCTTTTTTTCATTACTCACATCTAATCAAACAACACAATTCGTATATATACATATATATATAGTTATTTTAAAAGTACGACCTTGATGGTTGTCACTTGTCACATAAAAAATAATAAAAAAAATAAAAAAAAATTATGATAATATATACCCTCTATTATTATATATGCTAATTGATCATCGTAGTATTTTTCTTCAACGATATCACTGATTACTTATTGGTTAATTGCATATACTATAAATGCTGCTACGTACGTGTAAGTTATATACAACGAATATAAGCCATATATTGTTGAAAATGATAATTTACTAGTGCTAGTGCTAAAAAGTTTCGACCACCACGTGACAAATATATCGAGCACGACAAAAATTTAGACTAACAAAATATTAACGATAAGATAAATTAATCATTTCATTTATTTCGAATAACCCAATATATGTTATATTTATTACAGCCAGAAAGTATTATGATTACGGTTTTTCTAAGTATTTGGAATATTCCATTGCCAATTTATGCGATGGCACAAAGTTTTTATTAATACTATCAAACCATTTGTTACTATTTGATTCATTATGTTTTATTCAATAATTTTTTGTTTGTTGCGTCCAAAATTCAAATAAATAATCAATCATAATCTTCCGGAAGAGCATTAAAAATAAAATCTTCAAGGTTTTCTGGTGCAATTGCATTTTCTGGATTAGTTTTTTCGAATTCAATTTTTTTCGTTTTTTGTTAGTGGAAATTTGGTTACGGCAATTAACATATGTTTTTCAAATAGTGGTTTATTGGATTTTATGCTTTTAACTAGGGATTGGAACCGTCTAAAATTTTTAATCATTTAACCGTTTAACCGTTTAACCGTTTAATTTGACGTCATTAAAATAATTCCGGACCACGACCAACATAATTCTGCCCGGGACTCTGGTGCAATTTTTAAACTGTTACACGTTCCCAATCCCTACTTTCAACGATCACTTTTCACTTTAAAGAATCGAAGAAAAAAAACAACAATTATGATGATATTTTAATAAATATTATCATCATGATCTAATCATGATGAATTGAAAATATTACATAATTTTTGTACCTTTCCGGGTGCCCGGTCTACAATCTTCCCCAGTATCGCCACCAAAAAAATCACGCTCACGTGACAACGATAAAAATTCTAATTCGTTAATATTAGGGT